CGCATTTTTAGAAGGCCGACAGCCATAGTGAATGAGAAAAAGATCTGAACACCTCACAATTCATAAGGATTATGTAGAAAACAGGCCAAATACAAAATCTTACATTTGGGGGGGAGCTACAATATTCTATTATTTCAATGATTTTTCTGCTGCCAACAACAAAAAAGGAGCAAAGAATTCTTTTCACTAAAGAGTTATAAGATAACACATGGAAATGGATTAGTGATTTGCTCATCACACTAAATTCTACAATATCCATCAGATCACAGCTGAAGACTCGACTTTCACCAAGATGCACTTTTTCAAGCAGTAGTTTTCAAAAGGATGTGCAGTATTAATTTAAGCTTTTCTGCTGCTTAAAATCTACATGTAAAGTGAAAATACATTGTAATCGAACACTACTATTGGTTCTTCAATACATATAATTCCCCTGTTATTTACCAATAATCTGACACAGTTCCTTGTCATGCTCTTGATTTGTAGGATACCTTGGTAAGAAAAAAAATGCTTCACTAACAGGTGTTTCGTATTCCAAACAGATTAAGTTAATCACCTTTAATGTGCACATCTGCAGAATAGTGAAGTTTTTAAAGGATGGATATAGAAAACAAGAAAAAGAGATCAAGGATTAGAGGGAACAACAGAGAAATGAAACTGAGTGAGAAAATAAAATGAGAGGGGGGAAAAAAAGAAGAGGATCTAGGAATAGATGAAAAACTAGGCATGAAAGGGGACTCCACTGGAAGGAAAAGCCTCAAGTAATTTGGAAAGGCGGCCACCCAGCCAGCAAAGCTGGTCAACGCATTCCCTGAGGAACAGCATCCACATACACTGCCCCAGTAGGCTCTGCTCCCTGCTTCCTAACATTCTGCAGTTCTTACTCATTTCTTCTGACAGTCCTATATTTGAGTATAACTGAATTCTGTGGGATTACTCTAGGAATTATTGCCTATGGAAGATAAACTCTGTACCAGAGAAGTGACCTAAATCGATCCTGTGCTACTAGTCAAGCTATCTTTCACAGCAGCATTCAAAAAAACTATTATCCTATATCTTACCATATGGGACAAAAGCATCACTTTCAGAAATGAGAGCCAGCTATTTACCAGTTAACCTTATTATTTGTATAATGTATCAATTAATAAAAAATCCTATGGGCCTACTCTGCTGACTCATATAAAAACATAGACAATTTATTTTCAGAAATTATATCAATGCAAAAAACCCCACAAAAGATGGAATAACAGGTAAGACTGCACATGCTCATGAAAAAAGTATATTGCACATAAAACCCAGCAGCCTCTGGGTTACAGGTACCTGGAATTTTTCAGATGCTAGTGTTTTGGGAGCATTAAAACTGGGGAAAAAGGGAATTTAAGTCAAGGTAGGACCCTCAACATTGCAGCAGTGAGAAATATGGAAATAGAGCACACCTGTATTTGTTCATAACTCATTCAAAATCTGCTACTTATCTGCCATGCAAATTTTATGGGACGAATGTTTGTCTCAAAGAAATACTAATGAAAAATTACATTCAGTTCAATAGGATTTGCTGACATTTATGACCATGGCAGGGGGGATGGAAGTAGATGATCTTTAAGGTCCCTTCCAACCCAAACCATTCCAGAATGTTTATAATTTATGATTTACAGTCAACAATTAACTTTAACAATTATTTTCCTCTCTGAAGGGGGGAAATGTATTTATTTTATTTTTTCAGCATTTCTCCTTAGGCAATTTTTAAGGATGAGCTTATCAATTTTGTATGTAATGTCTAAGAGCTGTAGAGCAATTAACTTGCAGTTCTTTTTACAGGAATAGTGCCAAGAAATGCTGCATATTCACATATTTGAACCAACACTGTTCACTTCAGTCTTATTTTTAAATTAATTCCTCAGTCTATTAAAACTAATCCTGAAACCATAGTAGCTGTTTCTGTTCATAACATCAGATTTCCCCTTTCTCCTGATGTCAGCCTCAATGTACCTGCAGTTTAGAAGGACCATTTACTTTACTGCCTGACAGACAATTTTGTTTTGTAAACTTGCAGGTCCGAAGAACACAATGAAGTGATTTAAGGATGTACAAAAGCAACATTTCAGCAACGGTATTTTGCAATTGACATAAGACAGAGTTTCTAGCCGTGTAAGGTTTTAAAAAGATATCAGTCTTCTAACCTAGCACTAAATAGTTTGACACAGTTCCATAAAAATGGTATGAAGTGAGCAGTCTCCGTAACACTGTTAGTGAGAGAAGTTCATCATCAGATTGAAATCTTGAAAACATCTGTATTTCAAACAAGGAAAATCACAAAATGCCACCTCTTTTGCAACACAGGACATTGTTATGCCTTCACCTTTAACTGAAGTGTCATTTGCTACCAAGATCTCAGCTCTGACCAGCCAACAGTCGGTCAGGTGACTTGCAGTGAGCAGAAGACAGGTTTCAGGCTGCACTCAAGGAAAAGCAGGAGGAGAAGGCGCAACATTTTATTCACTAGGCTTGTAATTCACTGCAGGAAATAAGGTGTTCAGATTCGTATTTACCTTTTCTTCTCTTAAGCCAAGCACCATGTTTAGTTTATGTTTGGTTTTACATTTTTCTTAAAGCTGTCTCTCCAAATCCAAACCAGATCAGCCTCATCCTGACCTTAGCTCTGTTACTAGTCTAGCTATAAAACACATATTATTTCAGTCCCAACAGTGAAATCATATGAGTAATTTCTAAGCAACAGAAACAGGAAAATCTGAAGAAAGTTTCTCAAACATGAAACCCAGACTTATTCCTATCAACATAAACCCAGGACTGATGTACATCCAAGCTCTCAATCCACCCCATAAGACAGGCACTGAACTATTTTAGTGTTCAGTGAATTAAGACTCAAGTTTTGGATGCTGCTGCTTTCAAACAAATTGTCTGTGATCCACTAAAATCCATTATGCTGTCTAATAAGCAAGCAGTTTCTAAGGACTGTTCAGAGCAGTAATTTCTTTATGATCCAAAAACTAACATAGAAATTGCTCATGAGATGTCATCTGGTTGTAGAAAAACTACAGTGAGTACTGATAAGAAAGCATTGCAGTACTTACCACACCGAAAGCTCAAACCCCTTTTCAGTACACAAGCACCAAAGGGAGATGGAACTAATCATGAAAGTTCATTTCTAATAACAAAAAGGCTATAAAACTGTAAAGAAAAATAACCCATGAGTATTTCATACCAAGAATATTTTGTACAGAGATTATGCTGCTTCAGTATGAGACCAAGAACTAGTAACTACTAATTCAATTGAGTCCATGTATTACTCCTGTTTACAATCCTCAAATTGGAGGCTTATTACTTACTCTGTATTTGCAGGTTCTCTTTGGATCCAAAACTTGCTTAAAGATGGGACCTAGAAATCATTTTAATTTAGTTTTATGACACCTCATTTTGTCCAAAGAGATTAACAACCAAAAGACCTATTGTGCTGTATTACCTTTTTTTCCCCCCTACATTAGCAATTACCTTTTCAGTGGGATTTTCTAATTTTATTAAGGAAGTGAAGATAAAAGCAATACTGCTTTTCCTAGGGAAAAAGGAATTTCCCAGCAGCAGGCAAACCCACTACATTTCTGTTCAAAAAGCTGCTTGGCTTATACTTGTAAATCTTCTAACTGGGATTTCATCAGGAGAAAAGAAAAAAAAGTGTTCTGTGACAGACCAAACAAACGTTGCTGAGATTTTACATGTTCTTATATGTTTTGGCAATATTTTTGGTAAATGGAATATTTAGTTTTGTAACTGAACAATTTTATTTCTTTTTTTTAATACAAGGAAGCTATCTTTATGCCTCAGTATCTACAAGAATTTCCTTTACAGTATTGAACAGTGTCTGGACTTAAGTCTGGTTTAGATTAAAAACCTGCCCCAAGAAAACTTTGCATTTTAATACAAATACTGTATTTTTTGTATATTCTGTCTTGTCAAAGTTATTCACTGAAAAATCTATTAGCAGATGACACATTATGAATAACTGCAGTTCTCTCTTTGTGGACTACAAAACTATTATGGGATGTTATGTTAACATCTTTCGGGAAAACTGCCTGTGCAGTTTGTTGTTTAGCTTTGTTTCTATTTGCATCAAGTCAGTTCTCTGGCCTGCAAAACCTGTTAGGAAGGGAAAGAAAAACCAACCCAAAACTCAAATCTACCATACTTACTATCAATAATTTTGTTGACACCATTCAGGAATTCCATAGACTCAAAATAAAATCACAGTCCTTTTTCTCCTTTCAGAATATAGCCTCTTAATCCAAATAATATCAGAGAAGTAAAAATTTAGTCCATTCATCTGGCAAATGTTTCCCTCTGTTTCATAAACATGCATATCACAGAGAAAAAACGTTCAATTTAAGGTTTCTTACATAACTAAAGTGTAAAAAATCATCATAGAAATATGGTTATTCATAATAATGTCCTTATTGTCATGTATTACATTTCCATAAAAGAAAGATTTAGCAAAATCAATTGTGTTATAAGCAGCCAGTAAACACCGTTGTCTAGAAGGATTGTAAAATAGAAATTCTTGTAATATGGGCAATTATGTTCCAACAATCTTACCACAAGTTGGAGGTAAAATGTCAGGAAAACTAGAACAAGGATGCAAGGGAAAACATGTGACAGCTTATCAGAAATATTGGGTCAAATATTCCATGGCTACTATACATAAAATAGCCTGTCCAGAACAACACAGTACTACAGGTACCATTTCCTCTACATACATTTACAACCTGTAGAATACTTCTTTTTTTAATACTCTAATTAAAAGTTATATCCTATACGAAGGACAAAAAATACCCACTAGAGTAATATGATGACTTTTTACACAAGGATAATTAATCATCACATTTCATTAATAAATTATCAAGTGCTTGCAAGCTGCCCACATTCGTTTTCAGCTAGTTTGCATATTTCATAATGGTGGAATAACATTTTAAAAAGTTTGAATAGGCACTTACTGGAATTACAGTTAATCCTGATACAGTCTAGATGGGGAAGAATAGATGAAAAATGAAAATTTATCCTTCAAGGTAATAGCTGCAGACATCCAATAAAATCACAGTCCACCCTTCCGGGGACAGACACATGCAAACATGGCCACTCCATATCATCAGTCTTTACATACTGTTAGAACCCAGATATACTGCGATAAATCTTGATAAATATAAACGACAAATAGGGTAAAAATGGCCAATTTCAAACAAAGCTACATGGTGACAAATCTAAGTGCAAAAATCAGGATGAAATGTCAAAGATGCTTAATTGAGGCAGGCTGCAGCTTTCTCCCCATCTGTGAAAGAACAGGTAATTTCTCTCAGTGCAATTAGAAAGTGCTCCGTCACAATGGGTCCTAGAGCAAGCCAGGCCACAACCAGACATCTTGGACAACTTGTGTATAGTATACCTCAAAGGCTGATCTTCCAAACCTATGCAGTAAAATACAAAGCTCATCACCCAGCCTTATAAATAAGGTTTTGAGCGGTTACATTTTCTTATTGTATAGACTTAAGGAATGAACAGTGACTACATTTAAAACTAGGTTAATATACAGGACACTGCTTAACTAGAGAATCCTGAGTACTTTCAGGTTATTCCCCTGCCTGGAAAAAAAGAAAGAAAAGGAAAGTAAAAAAAAAAAATTAAAAAAAAAAAAAAAAAAAGGGGGGGAGAGTGTTGGAGAAAGAATCAATATTGTTTAGGCATCAATTTACTTACTTACTCGAACTACAGAAGTAGTCAAAAGCTGACAAAGGGTGGCATTTACTGTATAAAGAGAATGACCTGATCTATAGCAGCATCCTTTGCTGGGCCACCTGCACTTATTACAGTAAACATTACACTGTGCTGCGTGGTTTGCAGAGCTACTCCTGGCTTACACCTTTGAGGAACATATATACCATCAAACCTAGATTTTGTTTCCATATAGCTGAGTTTGTCATGTGTCGTCAACCGCATCAGAAAAGTGGTGGCAAACAGCCAGGGACCAGGACCTGCACATCCCCTTTTACAGAAAGTGCTCCTGCGGGATGGGGGTTCGGAGGCATCGCCCATGGGAGCCTGGCTCAGACTCAGCACTCCGGGGGCTGGAAGAGAGGATTCAACATGGACACCCTACGCTGCTTCTCCCTTCTCATATCTAAACACCAGGACAGCAGTTCAGTGAGAAACACTTTTAAGAATTGGAGAGTTAGGTGATTATTTCCTCTCCTCCCTTTCTGGAAATCACTTTATCTGCCATTAGGACAAATTACCTAATTCCCTTTAAAACCAACATTCCACTCAATGGGAATGACTGCATGGAGTGTGCATTTTCCTGAGTGTATTTCTGTTCTCTTTTAGGTCCTGACTTGGACTTTAAGCATAGAAAAAGTGCTTTTATTTACTTATAATTTTCTTTTTTAACTAAAGAAAACCCATAAGCTAATATTTTGTCCATCATATTTCAAACTAGAAAACCAATTTTTGGTTTGATGTTTTTTTGTTTTTTTTTTCTGTAAAAGGGCTTGTGCCTCCTGTGTTCACACAGCTGTTTGCTGAGGGCCGCAGTCTTTGGGCATTGAAGGGTTGTGTTATCGTTCGATACTACAAAAACACCACTACAGAATTGTTTAAAAAAGAAGAGATGAATTTACTGTAGTTTTGACACCTAAAAAGAGGAGACCAAGAAATCCATCCGTGGGAATATCTGATTACAACATTTTCAGTGTTAAAACTAGAAATTCTTCCCTGTGAGGGTGGTAAGGCCCTGGCACAGGGTGCCCAGGGAAGCTGTGGTTGCCCCATCCCCGGCAGTGATCAAGGTCAGGTTGGATGGGGCTTGGAGCAACCTGGTCTGGTGGAAGGTGTCCCTGCCTGTGGCAGGGATTTGGAACTAGATGAGCTTTAAGATCCCTTCCAACCCAAATCATTCTATGATTCTTTGATACGTTTGCATGTTGTACATTAATTGGCAGAAGTTAAACTGAACTGACCTACACATGTTGTTCCTACTTGCACATTTAAAATGTGGAAGTGCTACTGTGAAGAAGTTGTGCAGGGAGACCAACCTTACACAATGAAGTATAATGATTTAGCTCCAAAATACCACTGATGAACCAGTCTCCTCTTTTTAGAATACACAATAGTACAAAAATATTGTGATGATTATGTTAAACTATATAAAGAACACAAAAAATGCAAAAGAAAACAAAAGAAAGTATAATAATGGGCATGTATTTTGTGTGTGTATGTACATACACAAATGTTGCATCGACATGTGCTTATATATCATTTCAGTTTACTCTGAATGTTAAAACAGGCTGTTTCAGAAATGTTTGCAAGCAAAAAGAAAAATGTAAAGAAAATGTTAATTTCTTGGAGGAAGAATTTGTTACCTAGGTTGACCGTTAGTTTAACTCGTCCTGCATCCAACTCTAAGCGAAGGGTATCAGCAGATTCTCTAGATGTAGTTGCCATTAAAATGCCATAAGCTCGCTGGGACCTGAACCGTAAAGAAACATCTTCAGCCTCTGTATGCATCACAACAGGGAGCTGTATTTTCATAAACATACTTCCGTCGTAGCTCAAAATTGTTGCCTCTGCAAACATAAAGGAGAAAAACAGTTACTAAATAATTATATTTACATAAACTGCTCAAAGAGAACATGATAAACGTATCTTCACTTAGTGTGACACAGAAAAATTACGTGTTATGTATCAGTGTTACTGGGAAACATAAGCAAAGTTGGTTTGGGTTTTATTTCATGGGGTTTTGGGTTTGGTTTCATTTTTGGGGTGTTGGCTTTGTTTTATTTGGTTTTGGCATTTTTTAAGTGCATTATTGTGATACTTTCTAAAGAATCTAAATTGCTTTTTAATGCACCATCCAGTCTTCAAGCAGATGGGTAAAAACACATGTGAAAAAAATGCTTGCAAGGCTAGGCCTGTACTACTCAAAGTAGGTCGAAGTCAGTAAAAGATATTCAGGTAAAATTTATAGCCTATTAAAAGGTCCTATCTGACCATCATCCACCAAGATAAATACCTAAGGGTACTTTGTGGGGTTGGAACTAGTTGATCTTCAAGGTCCCTTCCAACCCAAACCATTCTGGGATTCTATGATTCTATCAATATTGCTATTACCAGTTACACTGATCATCCAGTTAGCAAAAAGCCATGTGAAATGGGTAACTACCCCCAGCATGGTGTAGATGGAGCACAGGTTGCTTCATGACCACCACGACTGCAGTACAGTAGAATCAAAAACGCCCGTACAAACATGACAGCCTCAACATTAGGATTGAGCCTGGACTTGGCACACTGAGGGCAAGACCTTCAGACTCCTGAGACAAGCAAACAACTTTCAGTTTCAGACATCACAAGAAACCCTCCCAGTGAGCAGTTCACAGCCTGTTAGACCCCAGAGCAACCAGCCACAAGTCTTCTCTTCCCAGCCTCCAGGGAAGCAGGAAGACTGATTTCTGCTCCTAGAAAGCAAAGGACACATCTATTTCCTAAATGTACTAAGAAGTCCTTTTATGCAGGAGGATGAAGCATCACAGCCAGTTAACCACCACAGCCTTTGGAAATGGGTCTTAGAGTCATTGACAGTGGCACATCATCCAGTGCTAGTGGATGATGTGACAAGCAGCATCCTCTACCCCAAGCTAAGAGCCAGTAGGCTCCCCAGAAACATATAAAACTAACCATACTGCATAACTAAAACCACCACACAAAAGACAAACCATAGTATCTGAACGTGCCCGTTTCATGAACATCTGATTGTTCACCTACCACTAATTCACTTCCATGTATCTCCTACATTCTTAAACCCATCCAAAACCTCCCAATCTTAGGAAGTGTTGAAGTGTAAAGATGAGAACGTCTAAAACAGAATACTATAGAATCTTTCTCAGAAAAGGAGGCAATCCTCACTGATAACAGTACCTGTTACTTGCCCAGTAACAGGCCAAATGAGCAACAAGCAGGAAGACAGCAGAGAACACCTATGGACAGCTTCTGTATACTTCAATTTGCTGCAGTATTAGAGAGACAGTTATCTAACAGCAAAAGTGTATTGTGGTCTCACATGCAAAAATATTATCAAGGCCTGATACCCTCACACTATCATTAATCAGTATCACCACTAAAACAGCACTATTTTTTTTTAAACATCAATACTTATGACAGCTTGTCAAAACTTCTTCCATTCCCTATCCTGTATACTGTTAAAGATAGATCAGTTCTTCAAGGCTTCCAGCCTACATGGTCCATGGAAGGACAAGATGTTCCGCTGTAACTCTGTGAGCATATTGGAGCCAAAAATGATAGATGGTACATTCATTAATAATTCCAGCCTTCCTCAACACAAATTTGAAGAAAAGAGCTTGATGTTGGAAAACAGGGATTACTAATACTGGTGTGAATCAGATGTAACAGGTTCAAAGAACATGTTCATAGGTTTGATGACTTCAAACCATGCAGGTAATAATGTTTTCTGCATGTTCTGAACTGAAAGTTTTTCTGTGAAGGACACTGAATACTTAATTCTCACCAGCCTCATAAGAGATTTTAAGTCAATGGGGGTTTTTTGTTTGGTTGAGAGTTTTTTCTTTGGTCAGTTTTTAGTTTGCTTTTGGGGTTTCAGTTGGTTTTGTGGTTGGTTTGTTCATTTTTGTGGGGGTTTTTATGGGTTTTTTATTTTTTGGTGGTTCCTTCGGATTGTTATTTTGGGTTTGGTTTTTTTGTGGGTTTTTTTTTGAGGGGGAGAGCCAGGGCTTATTATTCATTCCTATATCTAGCTCAGTCTGTGCGTTAAAAGCTCCCAAGACCTTTAGCAAGGTAAATACGATTTAGGCAATTAAAGAAGTCCAGCATGGAAGTTTAAGTTAGCCACTAATGTGAGAGAAAACAAAAGGTATTTTATAATGCCTATTAAAAAAGACACATTAATACTATTCAAAGGGTTTATAAACTGAGCAAATTCAGATGCTGTAGGATGAACAATATTCAATAACTCTATACAAGTCTGTTGCTAAAAGATTAAATTACAACAACATAAAACAAAGTTGTCAGAGTCAGCACTGGTACTGCTTGCTGGCTTTCTTACGATTATTTAGTCCTTTAGGAAGTTACAGAAAAAGGAGACAAGGAACTGTCTCAATTTAATCAGAGATGACCTGTGAGTATTTAACATCACAGTGAACAGACCTGATGTGATTAGATTCTCAATCCTCCTAAGCCATCCTGTGCCAGTCATTTTGGAAACAGATGTTCCAAGAACAGACCAAGGAGACTGAACAGAAGATCAAATGACTTAAAAGCTCTGGGGCAATGAGAAAACCCCTCATATGAACTCGCTCCTATCAGTATGGGAAGCACCAAGTCACAGGCTATCTAAATACAAAGGTATCACAGACAAAAAAACCAACAAAAACAAAACCCTGTAAAACTGGCAGGAAGCAGGGATAATATGATTAAAGACATCTTAGCACTGCTCTGAAAACCATAACGAAAGATTGGAGACACTACATATTCCTAAGATAATATACACAACTATGCTCAACTTACTCATTTGAAATGGGTCTGCTGGTACAAGTGTTGTTAGGAAAACTTTTTGTTGTTAAACCATGAATAAGTGATTGCTACATTAAGAAAGCTGAATATTTTGTCTATAGTGTGTTCCTCTCTCAGGATGGCAAGCTGGATTTTGCCATCTGAATCATCTATTCAACTCAGCATCTCTTCCGCTTGGCTCAGCACTGCTCTCAGCTCTGCAATTTCCATGTTCTGCTGGTCAGAAGCTATCTAGTAGTACATGTACAAGACCTTTGTCAGCACAAGGAGTTCCCTCTTATGTGGTGTCTGTCTTGTAATCCTTTGTGGCAATGCCTTCTTAGCTTATCATTATGTTTGGTGAAATACACGAACAGAGGAAAAACAACAGGAAAAAAAAAACCAGTTTATGATGAAATTAAAAGAGCTTGTTTTGACTTCCTTAGAACTAGAGGTTGTTTCAGTTGTTTGATGGAACTTTTCCCAGCAGTTTCAACTTTCTAAAAGTTCCATGAACTTTTTCCTGCAGTTACTTCAGTTGTGCAGAATGGACCGTTACTTTGCAAGGCCTGGTCAGTAAGATGGTGATGAGAATGAGGAGAAGCAATGGGGGTTACATCACAGTGCAAACTTGGAAGGAACATCTTGGCTAAAAGCATGTATTAATTTTTGCCTCTAACTTTTACTTTTTTTTTTTGCTTTGGACCAACTAACTCCAAAGTGATGCATGTCTCATCTTCCTTTGAGATCTACACTGCTAACTGTTCTCACATAAGTGTTGGCAGAATGTCTTTTTTCTCTTGCTCAGCTTCCTCTTAATTATTAGATTGCATGCTAATAGACTATAAGTTTAGCTCAGAATGTGCTATTCATTAAAAGAATCCGTTTCCACAGCAGGGAATAATAATTTTACTACCACTTCAGTGTTGGAAGCATAGCATTGAAAAGAAAAATAGCAGAAAATCCTTAAAAACTTCACTGACAATTTTTTGTGGCATCAATTCAGTGCATGCAGTTATTAACAAGAAATAAACAGATGTAATTCAGAGATACATAAAAATATTTTATAGATTCTTTGATGTATAAACCTAGTAATTAAGACCCATTGCTGCTTCTGTGCTAAAAACCAACCAAAACACCCAACAAAACAAAAACTGAAACACCACTGAAGGGTTTGGTTCCCCTCTCCGTTTTTTCCTGCTTAAAATCTCCAGGGCTGGATACTCTTCCTGTATATATACACTACCTTCATCAGCTCTCTGCCTATCATCAAGGATGCACAACTAATGCTGAGACAAGAGGATTCAGGACCTTAATTTTCACTTGGGATTGCACAGATTGCTGAAGGGACTGAGGCAGCTAATCTTTCAGACACTTTCCTACATCTGTTTCTACCCTCAGAAAGGCTCAGATACGTATTAACAGGAAGAAGCAATTTTCTGAATAGATGCTTTTCTTCAGTTCATGGCTTATTTAAAGCGAAGGGAGCATGGACTAGGCACTTGAATTTCAGTGATGTTCCTCATCAGTTTTGCAGTCAAGTTTGTATTGTTTTTAACAATATGCTGCTTCGTAGGTACGGATGCTTACTGCATGTATTTTAATAAATAAACCAGGCTCGTTTCCTCTGGACCCCTTGTGATGCCTCTGAAGTCCCAAAGACAGAACTATTATTTTTTTTCCTGTTTTTTCAGTTTCAAAGTGTCTGTAATAATGCAAGGACTGTGTTGCAGCCCAGAGAGCCAATTTTAAAGCATGAAATCACCCTCTGTGCCTGCTTGTCTCCCACACAAACTTTGCCCAGGTGACAGCGGATACAGTCCAGAGCCATACGAAAAGAATGGGAAAAATCTGGACAATGAATAATCAAGTGTTCAGGTTTGCTCTGTGACCCTTTTTATTTACCAGCAGCTACATCAGTCCATCCAGGCCCGAAGCTACAGCCTTGGTGAATCACGAAGAACCTTTGTATCAATCTGATGGAAGGAATAAATTCTTTATATACAATTAATTACAAGATAAGAAGTGAATACAAGTCAAAATTATTCCTCCCAATTTCTACAATGGTATTACTTCAGGAATGAGGTCCTAAGCCACACTCTGTAAAGGTGCTAAAACTGTAACACACAAGACCAATTAGATAATTTAAGCCAGAGATGGAATTGCTAATAATATTCTGAACACAATTCTTTCTACCAGTTACCATCATATCACCTGTATCTTATTATTATTATTATTAAAGCATCCAGACATAATGCAAGGAAAGCTCTATTCCTTTATTTAATGTGTATGTATATATGCAGGTGTGTGTGCATGCATAACATGGACATACATACACAAATTATGAATATATTTTCTCCTCCAAAACGTCACTTTGATAGATCTTTGCCTGCCTACTTTTTCTTCTCACTGTTTGATGAATCTACTCCTGTGCATTATTCATAGCCGTCCAAACATATATGCCTGCAAAAGGCTGTACAGAGGCAGTCACATACTGTGATCCACAACCAAAGTAAGATAGAAAGGCAAATTATATTGCTGTGACATCTGTCCGTCCATCTGCTGTAGTTTCCATAATGCACTAAAGCCAATCTACAGATTATACTGATGTTTAATCTCACTGAAAATCAAGAATAAAATCAAGAAAAACTTGCAACAGGATAAAAAGCACACGGATATGAATAAAACCATTAAGTTTACTGAAATTAAAATAGAACTGAGTTGTCTTTCATGTGTTTTGTGCACTGATAAGCTGACAAATTATTTCAGATCCTGTACTGTACATTGTACATCCACATATGGACATTAGTACTCCTATTTTAGGGGAAACAGCATGAAAAATAAAGGATGGTACTAAAAAGTAGCTACATGATTTTGTTTACTGAAGATACCTTAATCACTTAACATTAAGTTAAATAGTTTAATCTCCAATATTTTATTCTCTATTTATTGCTTTCTCTTCATTGTGAAACTATTGTTTGTTGAAATGAACATATTCGTATTTTATGTAAATTAGTTTGAACAACTACAAACATGTTGCTTACAGCACCAAATACAAAAGTGTATCAGTCACTGCATTTGTGTAGTAGTTATAACAACTTTGTGTGGTAGGATGCCAACAGAATCATCACTTTCAGAATCCCAAAAGCTATAGTCTTATTAATGCAAGACCATTTGGGAGATTAATATTCCTAAAAGGAGATCTCCTTTCAGTGTAGTTTCCTCTAGAGAGGGAAATGCAAGAGAAGGAAATGATCCCATACTATCTGAACTGCCACACATAGTTCTGTTGAACAAGAACCAAATACCGTTGTAGAGAAATCAACACCACCACCACCAAAGCACCACTATTCCCACTGGGGGAATGCACTGGGAAAATCAAGCTCTGCAGTGGAAGATGGTTGAAAATAAAGTATGGACAATAAAAAAGATAAAGGTTTCTATGTAAAATATTACAACCTGTCAAGTATATTTATGAACCAGGCTATGATGAAGCTTGAAGTTCTTTACAGATCTGCGTGTGGTTTTGTCTTTAACACGTTTCCAAGCTCCCAAATGGAAAAAATGCAAACCCTGTTTTTACTTCTGCCATCTGTAATAGCAGGCATTTGCCACAGGGTGGTACACCAGACATGTTTAACTGAAGGCTTTTGTAATGCATCAGACAGCTCGGTTATGCCCTCTGCCAGCTTCACTCCACCACTAACAGAACAATCTGGAGACCTCAGAATAACTGCCCATGAGCCAAAGGCATGTCTATATTAAAAAAAAAATGAGAAATCAGAAAAACCAGAAGAAACAGAGAATCTGCTTGCAAATGCCAATAACCTAATGGTATTAATTCTACATAAATGCACATATATTTATGTACAACTTAAAAAATTAAAACCTGATGTATGTTTAAGAAGACACTGTTGTTTCATCTTACCAACCAGAACAATGCACCACACTAGACGGAAAGAACTTATATTCCCAGCCAATACACTTCAGGTTTAGATTTCAGGTTGAAGAGACACTATATACTGTGTCAGCTGTGATACGAAAAAAAAAGATTCTGGGCACTGAAACATCTTCTATTCCAACAAGAATCAAACCAAACACCTAAGATGCTAACTATTTTATTGTTTTCCTACTTCCATTACAGTCTTTTATGAGTGTACTCTGTAATTTTAAGCAAATTACAGTTTTCTTCCTATAAACTAACATCAACGTCTATCTTCCTGGCCCCAATCCACCTTTTCAATTAAATAAATGGGGTTTATCAACTATACATTTTACTTTCTAGGCAACAAGGATACACGGTAATATAAGATAAGTAGAACCTGTTTCCTTGAGTACTAGGACCTTCAAAAAAAAAGTTAAGAAATACAGATTCCTACACTGATTCTTTTGCTTTGACTCATGGTTGAAGTTCTGGCCATGGATTTAAGTGATACTGGGAAATTCAAAAGAAAGTTTAATTACACAGTGGTATTGACATAAATAGACAGAGAACAAGACCTCAGTTTGGAACTGGAATGTGACCATTTAGTAATGCCATAATAATTGAAATTGCTTTCAAAAAGCTTTTCAGAATGCAGTAATGTGTGATGGGGCACAAAAGGAGACACTTTTTAAGAGACATTCAGTAGTACTGCCTCTGTGTCCCAGTCAACGAAGACTTCTTCACACGTCTTAGAAATGCCCCTAAGATCTTCCCTCTAGAGTTACTTCTTTCGGCCTACAGCAGGGCTCCATCTTGCTTCAAGTGAAATCAAAGACCTTTGTCCTGCCTCAGGAAAGTTAATAGTATTTTACCATTTTTAATCATTGTGAAGGATGTGATAATACAAAAATGCAGCCATCGCATGGAACCTACCTCTTTCGCATGATCTGCCAAGGTACCCTGTACCAGAGCAATCACAAACATATCTGTTCCACCCATCCCTGCATACACCATTGTTTTTACAGGGGTTGCTAAGGCAAGGTTTTGCAGTTTCTCTTGAGCATGAGGGTTTTACTCCAGCTGTACTTTGAATTTCAGCCATCTGTCGAATATCTTTGCTTTGACCATCAATAAACAAATCTCTAATGCAGCCGACGTATCCGTAATTGAGAAGTGCTGTCCACACCTCTGTTGGGAAGACGAGGCCTGCTTTGTTTTCTGGTAAGCCTCCAAGATACAAGTCATCATCCAAATCAAGGATTTCACTTTCCCCTGGTGCAGTATATGGTGTACGTAGTGTGTTCACAGATATGGTCCCTGAGAAGAAAAGACAACAAAATGTATGATTTTCAGGACATTTAAAATATTTTGGTACTGCTGTTATTAATCTACATGCCACATTAGCTGCTGGCAAGTATCTATAAATGAAACACAGGTATTCTATTGGTACAGTTACACAGTAACAGATATGCTTCATTATTTTAATTTCAATGTAGTACAAATACTGTCAGGAAGTGAATGATGTAAGAACATCAATGCACAATACTGCATGGTCACAATACAAGTCAAAAATCACAGGTATAAGGGGAATGCATTTCAGTTATTTTCAGAAATATCCTGCTTGTGCAACAACTGCCACAAAAATCTCTTCACTACCTCATACGTGCTTCAAAGCGTCAGGCTGAGGTTATATTGATAGGTTGCAATCTGGGAGGCAAATCTTTGTCTTTGGTTTGGATCCAAAGACACAGCATTTTAAAAGACTCTCGCCCTTTCACTGGGCTTTGGATAAGACTTTCTCTAAGTGCAGAAGGAAAATACTCTCATCAGCTGCCAGACAGGCAATCATTAAGAAGATAGTGATGTGCTCCTAGGGGGAAAATCAATGCCTCTGACACTTACCTTGAAAAGTGTGCATGTTACAAAGAGAGGGAAAGACGACGTGTACAAAGCCTCAGGAAATCAGAAGTACCTTTTCCATTTAAGTTTAAAAAGTAAACAAACAAAATTAAGCCTAAAATAAAGTTCTATGTCTACAAAGTGTCTGAACAAAGAAACTGTAATCAACAGTAAAGATGCTCTTTGTCATACTTTTTAAAATTAACCCGATTTTTAAAATTTGAATAGGCAGAGAACCAAATTTAGTACACCCAGATACAGAAGATGCTTATGGCAACCACAGTTAAGTAAAATTACTTGAAAGAAAAACCACATAGATCTTCCCAGAAGCAACTCCTTACCATTCTATATGAGTGCAAAAGCAAGGAAAACAGAAATCAAAACATTATGCAGGTCACCAGATTATTAAAATGTACCAGCCACATTATGCAACACTGTAATCCACTAGACTCACCATTGAAAGTGTATTAATGGTGTCAAGACACTGAAGAATTACATTTACTACAATGTATTTATCACACATACATAAAACTAACACAATTCACTATTTCCACTGTCAGGATGACACAGATTCCAGAAGATAACATTGACGACAAAAATACTGCCACTGTGATGGGAGTGGTGCACAAGAGCAAGAAATTCAGAATTTTTATAGCATACATACTAAAATATGAGCTTTAAGCAAACAGAGATAGGTCAAGAAAAGATCATTTTCCTACTTGGATACATCCTAAAATTTAGGCTTCTCTTTTAGCAATGGAGTCCTATGGGAGTTAGAGATTGATAGTTCTTTTGTTGGTTCCATAGGTTAACTTCAACAGCATGGACAGAATGAGCATCTGAACAGTTTAGACCTTTAGAACAAACCCCTTGGGGTAGAGGTATTGGGAGGTCCAACTCCCATGTTAGACTTGAGATGTATGGATTTTACAAGGGCTGGATACTACTACAAACAGTCTCCCTACTATAAGAATAGATCTAAAAAAGATCAAAGGCTTGCATAGTGTTTATGCATCTCTATGAGCATGTTTGAGGACATGGCCAGTTCTCCTTTTCATGTATTATCAAAAAAGTTTCTATGCCAGCTGAACAATCACACAGATGTGAACTTCCAGTCTTAACTAAGAAATAGGCATGTTGAACCAAGATTATTTTTCTTCTAGGCCTCCACCTGTTTAAAATCAATAAGACTATAATGTTTTGCTAACTACATATTTGCATTGCTGCTCACATTCTTGAAGTATGGCACTCATACAGAACACTTGCTGTAGATTTGACCTCAGGCATCACACAAGCGTAAATATCTTGAGGTTTGATATTATTCATCAGCTGCTCAAACAAGGATTCCTGGGAACGACCTGTTCAATCAAGACAGTTCTGAGAGCATCCTAGGTATCAAGAAGGACTGCTTACAAGCAATAGGTCATTTGTCCTTTAAAAAAATTAAAGATGTGTAAATATAAATCACACTTGTGCTCACAGTATTTCTTAGTGCTATTGCTGCTTGCTCCCATCTGTTGCTGTACAAGCTAATTTAGGACCAAATTATTTAAATTTATGTTCAGACAGCACTTGCACCCACACGAGTTAACTTAGCTGCAGCTCACACTTTGCACAGTGCTGTTTTCTGCTGGACGAAGACATTTCTGTCTTCAAGCTACCCATGATGCTAGGAGACATATAGGGTTCCATTTGTATTAAAAAAAAAACAAACCCAAAAACCAAAACCAAAATTAACTGACTAGTCTTGATGGTTTTCAATACACAGGAAAAGGCAGGAAACCCCAGCCAGTGTAGCTGCAGCATTAAGATGATGGTCCGAATGGAAGTTTTGCAAGCACAGAAGGCTGAAGAAGGTGAATCATAAAAGGAATGGTATCACCACTACACTCTGGTGATAGAATTATAGTTAGATGACAGATTGAAGCAGGAAAAATTTCTCCTGTATGTCAAAGGATTCCTGTGGAGAGAGCTTAAGCAATATTTTGAATAGGTATCAACAGCTTTATGAAGAGAAGAACCTTTCCCCTCCCCAAGAAATGATACCACATGAAATACTCCTTGGGAGAAGCCCTCCAAAATCTTAATGTAATCTTAGCACCTGATGACTATGGGTAGGAAAACCTAAGAGGCAACAACTCCTCTGTGAATCCTTTTCGTGTTTTGGAAGGCCACGGAACCCATTACCTATCCAGACTATCTCTGATTTACTGCTAGACATATCTATGACACTTCAACTGACCTACATACTCTGTGTATTACCCTTAGCCAAACAACTCTATGTTAGCTTTATTTAATCCTTTCTGTTGAGAGCTACACTGAGTTAAATAGCACTTGCAGAAGGCTCGAAGCCTTAATAACTCACTCTGGCTCAGCTGTTACGTAGGAGCTTGAACAAAATATCACAGCACACTGTCTAGAACAAGAACTATGGCTATAATACAAATAGGCTTTACAACAGAAAACCCATACCCAGGCACCAAATGTTTCATACTATCAGTTACCAAGTAGTCCTAGTTTCCTGGTGCACTTCTAATAGCAGTCACACAACCATCATTGCTGTTGGTATCCAAATTACCTTTTATGTGTATCTCATATGTAATGAAAAATTTACTTGCAAATTGCTTTGCAAAAGCAGTTGGAAAAAAAAAAAATCCAAGAAAAATAAGGGGCAATAAAAGATGACTTCCAAAATACATCAAAATCCTACTTTCTCTGGGAATTATAGCAGATTAAAAGGAATTGTTCTGTCAAATCACCACTGTGCTCCAATGCATTTGGATGTTTCTACTTCCAAATCTGAACAGACATCACTTTCCAGAGAAGCAGGAAGAAAGGAAGCTAATGGAGCATACAAATGTCTTACCTGGCCAGCACTGGAAAAGGTTAACAATTTGCTCTGTAAAGATAACATAACATCAACCCTTCTCACACCAGAATTGTCAAGAGGAAAAAGAATGGGACACATCTCATTTTACAAAATAACCTAAAGACAACAGAATATAATGAGGAAACAGAAGATTCAAAAGAGCATCGGCCTCTCAATGGGAAGAGAAAACTCTAACCTTAACAGAGATTGTAACATCTCTGTAGCAAGAACCATCCTTTCGGTTACATCCTTGCATATTACCTAGCAAAAGACCACCCATAACCAGATGAACAGCTATACTGTTTCTTTGAGAAGAGCAATTCTGAGGCAATAATGTCTGCTGGGAAACAAGTAGCTTCCTTGCAAAGATTTTTAATACTTAAAGTAGGGAATATTGTCTGTATTTCTACCAGAAAAAGAAAGAAATGGGAAGAAGTGACAGCATGTGCTTTGTCCAGCATGAAAGAAGAAAAAAGGGAAGACAAACAACAAGGAAGTGTGGGGTGATTTATTTAGTCTGGGAATTCATGATCTAGCTTCAGACTCTAAAAACAGGTAGTATTTCTTATCTCCAGAAACTGATATAAACTTAGGAGTCCTAAAATGACCTGTAGCTGGTCTGATTCTATAGCATTCCACATGAGAGCAAAGTGAAATTTAAACATTCAGAAGCACCTTTATGTACTGGTGGAAGAGTTTGAGAAAAACTAAAGAAATTAAGATTTTCAGCAAGAATTATTGACTTAAAGGATAACTGATCAGAAGGCACTTACACTTTCCCTGGAAGAATTTTCCTTAAAATCCAATATAAATTCATCACCTCAAATATGGAGACTATTAACATTTGTTGAAATAGGAACGTGTAAATCTGGCAATTCTTACAAGATTGAAAAGACGAGGGAAGGAGCATACAAAGTGTGCACGCAAAAAAAGAACCTGCAAGAATAATGCATGTAACAGATACTGACAAAGCACTACGTACAGTGAGATAATGATGATAGTTAAGCTCTAATTACATACTCTAATATCTGATATTTCAGTTGAAACTCTAACTTCAGTTCAGAATTCCAGTGACTTCTCAGCCCTCAAGTGTTACCTACCTATGAATACATTCTGATACATTATTTTACACTGCCACAGACAATTGAGGTTAACAGTAACAGACAGTTTCCTTTGTGACTTCCCTGTGTGATGATTATTTCCAAAGGATGAATGGTGGTTTAGTTTGAAAACACTTGGAAGGTTATTCCTGAATATGGTGAACAATTTAACAACACTTTAAATGATCTCAAATCTCAAAAAAGAGTTATTAAACCTAACTTTGCTGTGTTACAAGAAACTGTGAGCAAAGACCTTTACAGCTGCTTCATGATTGGTTTTATTTTGGATTTGGTTTGGATTTTCTTTCAATTCTTTACTGCATTATTTGGCAGTACTGTTAAAAGCAGACAGACAAACATTTCCCTTAGGCATGAGTCAATGAGCCTCTCCAATCATATTCATTATCTCAACAATTTACTTTTACATAAGTCTGCATATAAGAATTTACAGCTTATTTCAAAACCTTGTCTCATTCTGATCAATTGAAACTGAAGATCCTAACAACAGCTGCTACAACCATCCTAATCTCTATGCTTACCTTATGTGGCCTATTTAGTTGCTTTTTGTGCATGTGAAACATTTGCTTATTAACAGTGAAAACTCAGAACAAGGTATTCTAAATACACCTTACATCTTCATAGAATCAGCTGGGTTGGAAAAGGCCTTCAAGATTATCAAGTCCAAGCATTCCCCAGCACCTCCAAGGCCACCACTAAACCATGTCACTGAGGGCCTCATCTACTCAATGTGTGAACACTTCCAGGGATGGTGACTCCACCACTGCCCTGGGCAGCCTGTTCCGATGCCTGAGCACCCTTTCAAGCAAGAAATTGTTCCTAATATCTAATCTAAACCTCCCCTAGCACAGCTTGAAGCGGTTTCCTCTTGACCTGTCACTTGTTACCTGGGAGAAGAGACCGACAACCTCTATCTTGTGTGCTAAAGCAAAATATATGATGAGGACTGTGAACACAGCATACAGCCCATGGCCAAGACAAGGCACACATGAAGCAGACATGAAGCAGGAATTCAGGATGAGCACAAATACTGGAATGGAAACTCAGCTCATGACAGGACACAGTGGTTAGTGCCAGGCTGCATACCCTGCTGTATACTTAGCAACAAAGACAGACAACATGCTGGAGAACATGCATCACCTTTCCCCTGGTGCATACCCAGCAAGAAGACCGACCAGTGAAGAAGGTATGAAATCTTTCTCAACACTGGGAAATAGAGTCCCAGGAGTTCCTTCTCAAAGATCTGCTTTTTAGGTAAGGTAGCACTCAAAGAAGGTCTTACAGGTGTAATGGATGGGATTATAGGGTTAAAAACTTCTATAATAGGTCAAAAGTTCCTATAATACAAATATGATTCTGTAATAGGTCCAAAGTTCCTTTAGCAAAATGAAGTTAAAAGACACCATCTTTTCCCTCTTCCTTGTATCTCCCAAAATCTGAAGGGATCTGCAGAATTACTAGTGAATGAGGCCTGGATAAGTACAATTTAAAAATATGCTCTCGTTCCATACGCATCCCCTACCAGAGTCCCAGATAGGCATTGACAAAGACAGTAGTTTAGAGTGGATGCTCCCTGTGACTGACAGTCAAAGAGAGCAAAGAATGAAAAATAAATTGAGTACTTGCTGATCCAGCTAATGCAAAAGTCAAGAAAATTAGCAAAACTCCTTGAGAAATGTCACACTTTCTATAATCTGAGGGAACCACTCTGCACTGGATTTGAAGGGTGAGTGCAGAAAGTTGCTACACAATAAATTTCACTTTAAAATAAAAAAGAAAAACAATCTCTACTAAACTAGAGCACTTATTAACAGGAGAATCTCTTCATTTCTACTTGATAGGTATTTTGTCATCAGCAACAACTAAGTCTTAGAAAAGTCAGTATTTTTTATAATGCAAGGTATATTCATTCACTTGTAGAAAAATTATGAAGGTCAGCAAGTGAGAAATTATCACTTTCACATGATTTTCAGAATGTCTGGTTTTGGCTAGAGAAAATAAATGAGAAAGCTTCCTGGAATAATAAAGTGGATTTTATTATTCATGGCAAAAGGCATAACGGACCAACATGCACAAGTCATGAAGAAATAATCTAAACATTACACATCAGTACTTCCTGTTCCAATCCAAAGAAAACAGGAACACACAGTTCATTGTTTATCTCAAAGGCAAGGCAGTCAGTTTACATACTACTCAGCCAATAGTCTCATTAAGAAAAATGACAGCATTGCCACTGTTAGTGGAACTTCTACTGTGAAGTATTATTATCGGTACTAAAAATCACAGAAAATCTTTGATGTCTGGTTTATTTTTCAGCTAAAAAAAATAAATAAAAAAAAAAGTCTGTTAATCTATATGCCTCTACATAGTAACTGTTCCCAGTAATAGTTCAACGGTTTAGGGCAAATAGGTACCATGGTCAGTTTTTAAGAGTGAGAGGGTAAATAAAATTCACCCATCTTGACCACAGGTGATCCACCACCTGGATTAATTTTTCTTTTATATACAGAAATAGACTGGTTTGGGTTGGAAGGAACATTCAAGCTCATCTAGTTCCAACCCCCTGCCATGGGCAAGGACACCTTCCCCTAGACCAGGTTGCTCCAAGCACTGTCCAAACTGTTCTTTAACACTTGAACGCTCATATACATACGACTATCCATAATTCTATTTAAAAATAATATGCAGTCCTGATCACCAGGTATGTATTGCTTCCTACAATTAGTCTACATTCTTGCTAATGTCTAGCAACAGTTTTAAAGACAAGGGGGAATGGCTTTAAACTGACAGAGGGGAGATTCAGATGAGACATTAGGAAGAAATTCTTCCCTGTGAGGGTGCTGAGGCGCTGGCACAGGGTGCCCAGAGAAGCTGTGGCTGCCCCATGCCTGGCAGTGTTCAAGGCCAGGCTGGACACAGGGGCTTGGAGCAACAGGAAGGTGTCCCTGCCCGTGGCAGCGGGTTTGAACTAGATGAGCTTTAGGGTCCCTTCCAACCCAAACCAGTCTGTGATGCTAAATAAAGTATACTCTAAACTTTCTTAATTACATTTGTGAGCTACAGTTTTTGTGAAGCAATGAAAGTGCAGAAGATATCTTCAAAAGTAAATAATTGCTACACATTCAGTTCTTTCTAGTTGTGTTGACTTTCAATGTAAGAATAAACGTTGCTTTCAGTGGAGTCCCACAGGTATGATTATTACAGGATTTACTACCTCATATGAATCATTGAAACAACACTTGAGAAGGAAGCCTGAAATTAATATCGTAGTATAAATACAACCACTGGGTATTCAGTCACAGTTGAGGATTTTGAGAAGTTGTGTGTTTTGTTGTTTGGGGGGTTGGGGTTTTTTTTGTTTGCTTGTTCAGGCTTTGTGTATGTGTGTATTTTTGGAGGTGGTTTTTTTTTGGGGGGGAGGGTGTGATTAGTTTGTTGGTTTTTTTAACCTCAAGAAATGTAAACAAGCAACTGACATATGATCAGAAAAATCAGACTCTTTACAATTAGAATCTGAAGCTGCACAGCTCAGGAATCAAATTATTATTTTTCATAATCATAGGGCAGATTCATCAATTGAATTTTGTCTTGACTTTCAGCAGGGATTTGATTGAAATCTACACTTAAGAATCACTTGATCTGAAATCTCATTTGTGGGTAGTAAGAAAGTCATTCATAATCCAACAACTTTTTAGAGGTGAAGTTTCAGAATTACAAATGCAAGTTATGGAAAAGGAGTCACCAGTTAAAGTGAGGAAAACCCCACAAAATCCAAGAGAAGAGTTTGTATTTGTCAACACTCCAGGTTGGATACTGATATTAATCAGAAAATTCTTTGGACAGGCTGGGTTACAGACTCAGAACATCTCTCCCCCAACTCCCAAATCCTGGCATAAAAGGAAAGATACCTTTGAACAGATTTGTCCTTCAATTAAAGTATATTATTTGCTGAAGTAAAGATATATACTCAAGATCAGAGGCACCTGAAACACAAGGACTGGTTCACTAGTTAAATACATTGTATGCTATAAGGTTCCAGAAGCATTAGGAGAAGTTTATGAATTCTTTATTTTTACCCTACCACAGGATACGACCTCATACTGACAAAATACAGCAAGTCACTCATTTCCATTTCTGCTGATGTGTGTTGTTAGCTATTCATTAGCATATCATTTAATTACACTGAGATCTGCTGACATGACTGGGAGTTCTCCGTTGTTTCTGAGTACCAGCTATTCCCTATGTTGGAGACGACTTTCAGTAACAATTGTTCGTTTTTATTCTTGAAACTTGCCACTTCAGCTATTTGGTGGAAGCAAGCACGAAGGGAGATTACTGTTTGTTTTTTGAAGTACACAGCACACTTACTTGCAAGATTAAGTAGCTGATTACCCAATAAATTTTAATATATTTTACTCTGCAAGTCACTGTATTCTGGTACCTGACAGTAATGACTTCTTATATTTCCCTTATTTGGCAGATGATTCAGAACGCTAATGATGGCAATGTAATATATATCTGGTATTTTCTCAGATACAACATGAAAAAACATCCTGAATATTAACAAAAAAGCTTACCTGACCGTCCATCCCGTTGAAAATCCACATGGTACCATTCACCATCATTCACCTTCTTCTGCAAGGCTTTTATTTTTATAGTACCTGATCCCATGTCTAACAGCAGGTAGAGGTGGCCATCAAGCATTTCAATGGCAAAAAAGTCGACCTTCACCATCTGTGGGTGTTTGGCATCTTTTTGGTGCCTGGGTTTTCCATGACTGAATAGGATCAGGCCATTTGGCTCTGTTGTACGGAAGTCAAATGATATTGAGCCTGTTTTCTTGGCATTCCACTTTGGCAAAGAGATGAAAGACTCTGGTGTTTCAAATGTGATTGGATCCAAGGTTGCAACATTCTCACATTTAAATGCTACAACCCCGTGAATCTTCATTTTAGGATCTCCTTGCTTGGCAAGTCGAGATAACTCCAACCTGACATCATTATTTTTATATACAACCTGCAAGCAAAGCAGAGAAGTTACTGAGATGAACTTGACTATTTTAACCAAACAGATATAACCCTGAATCAATATATTATTTAAAGGATAATCATGATGGTATATGAATATGATTATTAACATCCACACAAAATTAAATAACTATTTCCACTGACTAATGATTTAATAATAGTTTTCATTAAACCAAAGTTGCTCTAAAAATATCCCTAGAGTTAATTCAAACAATCTGAAAGAATCTGCACATTATTTATACACAAATTAGTTTGCATGGCCTTGAATGCTTAAAAGCCCACTTCGCACAGCCATTCTGCTATGTTAGAGAAGCATTAGATGATTTCTCCCTCTAAACCCTTTGTCATTGTCTTAACTCTTCTGCCCATTTACAGAAAATGTCCCAAGGTCAGATACTTTATGATTTAACATCTTTTCAGTTTGTCCTTGGGGCTGACAAATAGTAGCATCCATGGCATTCATGAAGCTATAAAACAGGGAAACTAGTATCATACCAATCAAACCAGACAAAAAACAGGACCATCTTTGAGCAGTTCAACTGGACAAAAAATGACCCACTTACATATTTTCCCTGACTGAAGACTTTTCTGATCGAAATGAAAGATAATATTGGTTTTAAATCCAATTTACCTCCACAGCAAATATTGCTGCTTCAAATCACATATTTACTCTGCCCAGAGAAGTCTGTCATGACACAAACATTTCCCAGGGGTCTAGTCTTTATTGGGATAGTCTAAGATTGTTGCTATTTATGCTGTCCAGGATACAAGGACTGCTTAAATGAAGCTCCCCAGTAGCTGAGGTGTGCACAAGTGTTTTGTCAATATTTTCTATTATTCAATAAATTATATACTTAAGCTAAAATACCACTGAAGGGCTGAATATGAATGCATGGTGACAAGCTAAATACTTCTCTGTTTCTAAGGTTAACCCTACGTTAGAAAGCAATTTGGAGCAAAAGCAACAGCTCAGCAAATCGAAGCAGATTGTGTTGAGGTTTCTTCATCTACAGATGCAGATATAGATCATGTCTGGCCATTGATCCAGTGTTCCAACTATACAGTGTAGTCTGAAGCTGTTCAGGGGAAAAACCTCTGGTTTTGACCTTGTAACCCTATTACAGGTTGGAAAGTGCTTAACGAATACTTTGGGTACAGCTTCTGGATTCAGTTCCTCTGAAGCTTAGTTTGAAGACAAATGAAACCCACTCCAGCACACATTAAGTAAAAAAGATGGGAGATACACTGCAGAACTGTGCCACTGTTAGATATTAAAACACCAGCAGACACAATCTAAGATGGCATACCCCAAAAGTGATAGCTGCTATTAAAAAACCATGTTTCACGATAACAGAACACTAACGAGATGATAGACAGATCAAGAATTTTTTACTGTAGGAATTGTGTTCTTTCAAATTATGTCATTATCCACCCAGCAAATTGCATCATAAGTCATGGCAGATTTATTCTAATGTATTAAAAAAGCCCCTTTCTCCATTATATTTCAGAGTTCAGCACAAATACTGCCGTTCCCACTGGAGCTGGGTCTCCAAAGAGGACAAAAATCCTGGCTTTGGATTCTTGACAGCAGAAGTAATACGCTGCCACAGAGAGGCAGATAACATGTGTTGCCTTCTTTGAGTGAAGACACCAGAAGTGACTAGAATTGGACTAACTGTAATCTTGAAGAATAAGGTACCAAATTTGTATTTACCAAATAGTTCTGGAACACCTCAGAGACTGCAGATTACACAAAGGAATTTAGAATAGAGTACTGTAGAATAAGCACGTGCAAGTGATCTCTCATTGGGGTGACTGTGTCTTCAGAGTGAGGAAAGCCAAAGGGCAGAAGAATGCAGCAAGAAGCCAGTCGCCTGGCAGGCATTATTACTTAGAGATAGCTGGTCTCATGGAACACTGGCCACCTACTACAGCAAGAGGGATTTTGGAGAGCTTCCATCTCATTTGAAGGAGTTACAGGGGACAACCTTTCTACAATAGAGTGAAAAGTGTTAAACAGAGACTGGAGGATATGATTTTAAAAAAAGGAACAAATGAGCTCTCATTAGAATTAAATCATCCTGTTGACAATGAAAGTAATTAAGGCAACAAAGAACACGAGGATAAAATACTCTTCAATTGCTTACTGAACAAAGGTAACTACCAGCACAAGTAAATGTACAAAGAGAATCTCTTGTTTATGGAAGAATTCAAATTGTCTGATATTAATGAAGCTGGTTGACCGAATAATAAAATTAGTAGTTAATAGCTATGTTAGAAAACCTGAGCAGACAAAAGGAGCTTTCCTTGACTTCTAGCACAGCTCCATAGGCTTTGAAATCATTTATCAACTCGGAAACAATATAGTTCATGGACCTGATGGACAGGGATATTGACGACAGTTTTCTTAACTCATCAACAGCTCTCTGAGTAGCTTAATATACAATATATGAGGGGAAAAAACTGTTCTTTAATATTAACACACTACATTCTCCCTCCAATAGAGATGTGGATCCACAATTAGTTAAGAGAATGTAACTGAGTCATATTCAAACCTTACCCTTCACAACCTACCAGTCAGTATCCCTATACCGCTATGTGCTTTCCTAGCATCTATTGGGCTGCCCCTGGTAGTAACTTATGTACTCTCGCACTCCCCTCTCATACCTGAGCAAGAACAATATTTTCCTGCACATGAAATTGCCAGCCCTAAAGGTATAATACTGTGCTATTAAGAGCACCTTGAATTTGTCTTCTATTTACTGTATTCTTTCCTCTTAAAATTAAGTAAGGTTCAAGAATAAATCTGTTTTCCAGCAGAGAAAGTGAAGACCTACGTATCTTTTTCCAATCAAGATAGGAGCTCCCTTTGCTACCATCTAGGCTAACCACATGCGGGGCAACTTTTAATATCACAGTGCTGAGTCTTAACAAGTAAGTCCAGCTAAGAGACAGCAAATATTAACTTAAGCTCAGCACTCTTCAACATGGCCTGTGGGCAGATCTGAGCACAAGCAAAATTAATTCATGTTTCCCAAAGATACATAACGTATATAATTTATTGCCCTACTATGCAATGAATTCTAGGAATGTATTGAGAATTCACTACAGACCTACAGTCATCCTGGCAGCTGCCTTCAACAACAAAATAAGCAGCTGATCAGCCAATGAAACTATATTAATAAATCAGCAGTGTATGGATGTATGAATGATGCTGAGAAAAGGTGAACCAGAAGACAAGGAACTCCCTGTTGATATTAGATGGTCATTATTAAGTTCAAACATAAAATTAAAAAGTTGACATGAAAACATTAACATCAACAAAACCCTACCATTTCTTTCTACTGATCTTACCCCCTGGAATTTAAAGCCATGGAAGATGTGAAAGAATCCAGATTTCAACACCACTTTCAAAGTGCAGCCCTTTCCACATTAAAGATTTCTTTACGATGAGTGAAGAAACGGCATTACTCAAATATTTCAGAATACCAAGTAACTCTGCTAGCAATAGCCTTTCAATCACTGTGATTAAAAGCCTTTAAGTCACTGTGAAGCATTTCTTTCAAATTACTTTACATTCTTAAAACCAAACACGATTCTTAAGGACCTAATGTTCAGCATCTAAGTTTCCTTGAGAATTAAAGAGAAACTAGGAGTTCAGAGCACCTACATTATAATCTTGCTCTGAAGAATTCATCTATTTACTTAATAGGGGTGTGAGTTAAAAATAGTTTTCTAAATGCAATTTCAATCAATTCCATCTCCAAACATGTTAAAAGAAAAAAGAATCATACAAATCTTTACATTACCATAAGGGAGTATTTTCGTATTTTCATGAAAGCTGGATCACCTAGTGCAAACAATGGCAATTAATTCATTAAAATGGAGACTAGTATCATCCAAAATGGCTCAGGGTAAGTGCTGCTGACCTACAATTTTATGCTGCACGGTGAAGTCAGAGGGAGATAACTTACTGATGTCAGCAACCATAGCAATGGGACTTAGAGTAAGTGAAGCCTGAGGCAATTTTATCCGCTTGCTTTAACAGCCACTAGAAGTTCCATGCTCATTGAGAACTACCTGGTGCATACAACATCACATTCCCCCGGAATCCAAATGCAAAAGTGACCATTGAGAGTTACCATGTTGGGGTTTTTTTATGGCATTTGCTGGATGGTTTTGAACTAATCCGTGAATGTCAGTTTCTCATTTTGCTAACATGCCTCAATTCATTTCCAAGCTCCAAAAATTAATATATCAAGGAAAACAAACTGCAGACTACTGACAAAACTCAGGGAGCTCCAGTTCAAATATTTGCAATGGGGTTTATTTCTGAACACAATGTAAATGAAAGCACACAATATGAATGACAACAGCTATTCAATCCTCTACATTACTCAACTTCACAAGCCAGCTTTGTTTTGTGAACACAGAGAAGAGAGAAAATATGTATAATGAAAGCTCCAAGGAAACTGTAGTCATCCTCAAATAATATAGTTTTAATTTTCCAGGGGTGCGGACGGTAGTATGGGGCATGGGGTATGGCAGTGCAGGGTATTTAGAATGGGGCTCATTTTGAGCACCAAACCAAAAGATGAGTGTCTATAGAATCCTCTGAGTGGGAGGTGGGCTCAAGACAACAGGTCAGAATTCCACGATGTTAGATACATCAACACATGGAGAAAATGACAGCATCTGTATTTTGCTGCAATTATTGTAAATCAATTAATATGGTTTGGGAAACTGTCCTGCAAGCCTCAACTCCAAAAAAGTTGCTTAATAGAGCTGGAAAGGCATGTCTAATCAACTGCAGTGCCACAAACCCCATGGAATATATATATCTGGGATTTTTATATTCTTCTGCTTCTTCTTACTGTCAACTCTGAGCATCTGAAACTGTTGAGTGGAAACAGACCACATGACTCTCCATGCAAATTAGACTTGGCTCTTCCATGGGAGAGGGACTTTTTACCAGGGCCTGTAAGGCAA